AGGATGCTCAACATCACTAATCATTAGAGAAATGCAAATCAAAACTACAATAAGGTATCACCTCACACCTGTCAGAATGGCCATCATCAAAAAATCTACAAATAATAAATGCTGGAGAGGGTGTGGAGAAAAGGGAGTCCTCTTGCACTGTTGGTGGGAATGTAAATTGGTACAGCCGCTATGGAGAACAGTATGGAGGTTCCTTAAAAAACTACAAATAGAACTACCATATGACCCAGCTATCCCACTACTGGGCATATACCTTGAGAAAACCATAATTCAAAAAGAGTCATGTACCGCAATGTTCACTGCAGCACTATTTACAATAGCCAGGACATGGAAGCAATGTCAGTGTCCATCGGCAGATGAATGGATCAAGAAGATGTAGCACATATATACAATGGAATGTTACTCAGCCATAAAAAGAAACGAAATTGAGTTTTTTGTGTGAGGTGGATGGACCTAGAGTCTGTCATACAGTGTGAAGTAAGTCAGAAAGAGAAAAACAAATACCATATTCTAACACATATATATGGAATCTAAAAGAAAAAAAATGGTTCTGAAGAACCTAGGGGCAGGACACGAATAAAGACGCAGACATGCAGAACGGACTTGAGGACACGGGGAGGGGGAAGGGTCAGCTGGGACGAAGTGAGAGAGTGGTATGGACATATATACACTACCAAATGTAAAATAGATAGCTAGTGGGAAGCAACCGCATAGCACAGGGAGATCAGCTCAGTGCTTTGTGACCATCTAGAGGAGTGGGGTAGGGAGGGTGGGAGGGAGACTCAGGAGGGAGGGGATATGGGGATATATGTATACGTATTGCTGATTCACTTTGTTATACAGCAGAAACTAACACGACATTGTAAAGCAATTATCCTCCCATAAAGATGTTAAAAACAAAACAAAACAGTGCATATGGGAAACAGATCACCCAGGCCAGACTGTTGGCCAGGAATGTCATCTTCCTGATACTTCTGTTTTGGTGTCTTGCTATCTGGCCTGAATTTCAGAAGCACAGCTCTAAAAGGGTTCTGAAAAATTTTGCCTCCAGGGTGTACCTTCACATAAAATTCAACATGGTTGAAATGTAACCCATTTTCGTCACCATTTCTGTCATAAGTTTGCCTGCTTATTGGTGGCACTGAGACTTACAATAGTAGAGAAATTCTTGATACTTTTCTCACCGTTTTCTTCTCCTCATCCTTCACTGGGCATGGGGCAATTGTTCCTTGCGTCGTTTGTATATATGCCTCCATTTCCAGTCCCCAACCCCCACCACCACAACATTCAGGTCTTCCCCTAATTTCCTATGAGGTCTCCATGCTGTGGACTAAAAACAAAATGCACAACCTAAAAGTTGAGAATTATATTTTATTTGGTTGACTTACCAGAGGAGTTAAGCCAGGGATACAGTCTCTCAGATAGCTCTGAGACACTGTTCCAAAGAGGTAAGCAAAGAGCCAGCATATATATGAGTTTTTGGAAAAAAACATAAAACAGGTGGTCAAACATCAAAAGATTACTGCTAATTAAAGAAACAGACATCTCAATTTAATGGATTTAGCATTTTTTCTATGCACGGGAAGATGCAGGAGTCTGGGCTTATTGAAATCATTCCTTTGATATGCATCTTCACTGTCTAGTGCCAGTATCCTATTCTTCCGATTTTGAGCCCCCTCAGGGTACACCTCTGGGTGTGGCTGCAGTAGCTGACAGCTTGGTGGTGGCATCCTTTGTTTACTGATATGGCAGGTGACATTCTTTGTCCACAATGTCTTTACTCCTGTCTGTTCCCTAATTCTTCCTGTACATAGCCAGATTTATCCATCTGAAAGGTTATATTTTACATAGAGTCCTGATGCCTTTGTTTATGCTAGATTCATTCTGCCTGAAGCGGTACCCCCTTTCTTGCACTTGTCTAAACTGTACCCCTTTTCAAGTCCTGCTTCCTTCCTGAAGCCTTTTCTGGTGGCCCTAAGCCTCAGTGATCAATTACTCTTGTCTGAATTTTCAGAGCATTTACTTTCTGTGTCACCTGTTTAGCACAAACAATACTCCCCTGCCTTACCTGTGCACGATGCTTGCTTCCTTTCTGGCAATACCTGGTAATGGTTGTGCATTAAGAGTTACCGAGGCTTTTCTTCCCCTAATGTTCAAGACAGAGATTCAAGAGACACTCCAACCCATATAAGCAACAAATAAAAAAGAAGACCTCACTGTTCCAAATTTCTGAAGTTGATTTGAGGTTTTTATATTTACAAATATTTTTTGAGCAGCTACTCTACGCTTGGCATTATACTGCATGCTGGAGACAGAACAGTGAACAGGACACTAATCAATTCTGCTTTCAAGAAGCACACATTCTGGTAGGAGAACAAGCAATTATAGTACTGTGGAGTACATACCACAATAGACGCATAGGACACTATCGGAACACAATGTAATGCTGACCTGGGAGGCCTGAGAAATCATTCCAGAGAAATAGATCCAAAAGCTGGAACATGGAGTATGAGTAGGAGCTGCCCAAGCAAAAGTGTGTGTATGTGCAGGGACTCGGGGCAGAGGAAAGAAGAGGACTCCAGGCGGAAGGGATGACAAGGTCCTGGAGACTGCCAAACACAGCTCACTGGAAATATGAAAGGAGTTTAATTTGGCCAGAACACAGAGTGCAAGGCGTGAGATAGCAAGAGATGAGGTTGGAGGGATAACCAGGGCCTATGATAAAATAATAAATACTTGGAAGGGCAGTGAGCAACAAAAAGAAGGTGGGATGACTGGACTGGGTTTGCACTTCTGCAGTGCCACTTTGGCTGCAGGGTAGAGAAGAGCCTGAGGGGAGAGAAGAATGAAGGCAGGAAGGCCAGCGGAGCAGCTAACAGGGCAGGTGATCCAGCAAGAAACTGAGGTGCTGACCTGACATTAGCAGTGATGGCAGAAGTGAAGAAAGTGGATACATTTCAGGATGCTTAAGGGATGTGGGTAGTGAGGCTGAGGAAGGTGAGTGGCTGTTAATGTCATTCCTTAAAAAGGAAATCAGGAGGAAAAGCTAGTATAGAGGAGAAGACGATGACATCAGCATGATTCATGTTTAGCTTGGTTTTCTGCACCTGGACAGACCCACGTGGAGACATCTTGGCAGCTGTGCCATGCAACAGTTCTCAGACTTTTCGGTTGTACAGATTATTGTTCACTGTTACAAATTATTGAGGACTTGAAAGAGCTGATGACTATTCATATTTACTATTCAAATTAGAACTGAGAAAATTTTAAACATATGTATTAAACCATCTTAAAACATAATAAACCTATTACTAGTTAGTATAAATGTTTATGAAAATAATTATTTTAAAACAAAAAATTAGTGAAAAAGTGGCACTGTTTTACGTTTTTGCAAATCTCTTTAATGTCTGGCTTAATAGAAAATAGCTGAATTCTAAGATCTGGTTCTGCCTTCAATCTGTTTTGCTATCACACTGTATATAGCCTCTGGAAAACTCCACTGTCGTATCAAAGAACCAGAGTGAAAAAAGTAAACAGCATCTTGAATAACTGTGAACATAGTTTGATCTTGTGTTCGCCCCTGAAGGGGATCTCTAGGGATCTGGGGACTACACTTTTAGAATCACTGCCCCAGAGCAGGAGAACTTGACAATATTGTGAGTCTCACTAATAAGCTCTTGATGCCATGGCCAAAAGTAGGCTGGATAGTCTTGATTGAGGTTTCAAGTGCTATTTTGAGAGGTTGAGGTTGCCTGGTTGACATCACCTTCCAAAGTTAGGAATGGAAGAATGTTCATTCAATTAATTCATATAACAAATATTTATTTAGCACATATTATATGTCAGGAACTACTCTAGACACAGAGGGTAGAACGAACAAAACAAAACAAAATCCTTGCCTTCATGAAGCTTCCCTTTTCTTTGGGGAAGATTAGACAGTGAACAAAGTAGTAGAATATATATCGGAGGGCAGTAAATACATGCAGAAAAACAATGGAAAGAGGTATAGGGAATGTTGGAAGGATTTGCAGATTTCGAGTAGTGTGTACAGGGAAGCCTTCATTAAGAAGGCAACATTAGAGCAAAGACCTGAAGGAGGAGAAGGGTATCGGCGGGTGGGATACCATTTGGTTATCTAACACAAGAGCTTTTCTGGGTATTTAAAAAGATTATTCCTTAATTTATTTTAACTTTTATTAACATGTATTCTTTAATTAAATATCTATTGTATCTGGCATTAGCTGCAGGTAAAAGAAGATAAGATGGGAGGCTAATGTTTATTTAGTGTCTGCCACGTACCAGGCACTTTGTTAGTTACTATACATGAGGTTTGGCGCCCTCACTAAGATTTATAGCTTGCCAAGAAGACAAAGCACGTACATACATTCCTGCAGTTGTGGTGTAGCAGCTCTTATGAGTAACAGTTGGCTTGAGTTGCACCACCAGAGATCTGTATGCACCTGATCTATGTGAGGTTTACATCTCTCTGAATATGAAGTGAGGTGTGAAGGGTATTTGTCAAACAGCCAGGAACTTAATAATACCAGATCACACCTTTTATAGAGCACTTGAGTTTACAAAGTGCCATCAGAAATTAACTCATTTAATCTTCATAATAATTCTAAGACGCCGGTCTTGTTCTTAGAAGTATAATTGTGCCGACTGAGGGGAACAGGCTCAGAAGTCTAGGTAATGCAAAGCGGTTATACGGTGGCTGGGACCTAAAACTAAGATAATCTGCCTTCGCGCACAAGACTCTTGCCACTGCAATGCAGCTGTTTTGAGCAGCTATTGAAATCAAAGAGAACCATACTCCCCTGACTCAGTCCTCTTCCGAGTACGTGCACCAAGGAAGGACGGTTAAATGAGGGCTGGAGAAAGGGAAGAGCCTGCGAACCGGGTGAAATCACACCCGGCGCTCTCCCTCTGCGCTTGCGCAAGGGAGGAGTTGCCCTCCCCGGAAGGACACGTGGGACTTGGGTTTGCGCCGACGCAGAGCTACCTCCAGGCGGAACCTGGGCGTGCGGGGCTCCTGCAACCTAAACACCCGGTGTGAAAGGAAGGTGGCCCCGGCGGGGCGGGGCGCATGCGCGGCAGCTCCCCCTGGGGAAGGGCTGAGAGGCGGAGCGGGGCGGCCAGCTGTGAGCCGAGCGGAGCAGGGTCAGGATGGACGAAGACGTGCTGACCACCCTGAAGATCCTCATCATCGGCGAGAGTGGCGTGGGCAAGTCCAGGTGAGGCGGCTCTGCGAGCCGTGACGAGGGTGACAGGGCCCTTTCCGTCTCGGTGGCCGCTGTCCCCTGGGCCGCGGCGGGAACGGTAAACGGCGACGGCCGGGCGCGGCCCGAGCTGGGGCGGCCTCCGCCCGCGGCCTCCGGGCCTTCTCGCTGCGCGGCCCCGCGGCCCCGCCACCCCGCCGCCCGGTCCACGGCCTCTGCCAGGCCCGGCTCCCTGGATCGCTTCGCCTCCTGTCGCACCCAGAGGAAAAACAGTTCCGGGGCCGCCGCCCGGCCGGCGGTTTGCTGTAGAGGAGCCTAGGGAGCGGCGGGCGGGCTTGGGCCCGAGTTCGGCCGAGGGCGAGGCCTCTGGGCCCCCGGGCCAGGCTCCCTGCACCCCGCGAGTTGAGAGGTGTAGCTCTACCGCTGGGGTTTCGGCCGGCCTGCCTCGTAATACGTCAAGTTCTGCACGGGAAGTTTCGCGACGCCGTAGGTCGCATTCCTGGCCTATTACGGTGCACCCATCAACCGCTTTTTTCTTTTTTTTTAAATGAGTCAGCTGTGAAAGAACTCTTCAGTTTTCTGATTGCTTAAATAATTCACTTTAGCCTGAGAAGGCAGAGCTTAAGCTGTGGGCCGCTTTTGAAAATCAAGTGTGATTGTTACTTGTCATTGTGCCGCATCATATAGAGGTAAAAGAACACATTAGCATGTGTCTCTTCTTTCTTGGGGGAAAGTAACGTTGACAGTAGTTAGAGTTGAGTACAAGGGAAGACGTGGAGCCTGGGGCGTATCGCAAGAGGGCTGTGATTTCATGCACATCCTGGAACAAAGTTCTCCAGGTGAAGGTATCCTCGCCGTATGATTACGAGCTCCTTGTATTCTACGCTGCTTTGATCTTCAAATAATATACAAATTCCAGGAGCTGCAAGCAATTTCATATTTTAGCTATACCTCCTGATAAACTTATCTTTCACATTACTTCGTGAAGTCTTACTTTTTTTTTTTAAATACTTGAGGGCTTCCCTGGTGGCGCAGTGGTTGAGAGTCCGCCTGTCAATGCAGGGGACACGGGTTCGTGCCCCGGTCCGGGAAGATCCCACATGCTGCGGACCGGCTGGGCCCGTGAGCCATGGCCGCTGAGCCTGCGCGTCCGGAGCCTGTGCTCCGCAACGGGAGAGGCCACAACAGTGAGAGGCCCGCGTACCG